TAAACAACTGCAGAGAAACCCTCTGTTCTGCGTTAGAATGCACTGCCAGTCTCTGCAGGACAAAGGTTCCATGGGCCCTGGGAAGACAAGCTACAGGACCCACCTGGTCACCCAGCCACAACAGAACACAGAGGAACCTCATGACCTTGCCTTTGAGATATTTAAGGAGACAGTTCATCCCCTAATACAGCTCCAGGACAGCGAGTATCTAACAGGCAAGGAGTCGAGTCCATTCAGACATCTGAAGTCAAGGGTGATGGGTGGATCCCATTCAACAGCCCATGGAGTGAACTGGAGCTGATCCAGAAGGGAGCCCATCCCAAGAGGGAATCGGGAAGCTCGGACTCTAAGGCTTGGCTCAGCCTCAAACAGGAGTCCAGGATTAGCTGATGAGAAGCCCCAGAGTTCTGTGGTCAGCCGCCGCCCGTGCCGTGTGCCTGCGCAGCCTCGCACTGCTGCTCTGTCGGTGGTTTGGAACAAACAACACAGTTAGCAGATTACAGAAGAGCTTGGGGCTGTTGGCGGCCGAGCAGCACGATCTCAGAGAGATTCACGCACTAGGATGGAAATGTGTCCCAGGAAGACCTTGGCAGCACAGAGTCTTCTGCTTATCTACCGGGACAGGCACAGGGAGGAGATTCGTGACCCTGTGCCTGTGTGAGGCAATGGTTGTTTACTTCAGCAGCACTTCCTGAGAAGTGGCTAACTGGTAACCTGGGGACAGGCACATGGCTATGGAGGCAGACGAACGCCCAGCCTACCCTGCCTCTGTATGCCGGACTGGAACAAAAGAAACTTCGGAGGTTTTTCTGGCTTATTCCTGGGATTCTTATAACCCATGGGTCTCTTGGAAAATGCTCCAGACTCATGTGTCTTGCCTCTAATAGCTTCCTCCAGGGCATGAACAGTGGTGTGTGATTAGACACATCCAGTGAGGTAGGAAGGCTCCACCAGTTTGCCTCCTAGACATGACCATGGGAATCTGTGCCAGGGCAGGCTTCACCCCATGGGTAGACGGGGTGGTAGCATGTGCCTGGGGAGGAGGAACAACTGAGTGATGAGGAAGTGGAGAGGGCTCCGGCTCTGTGGATCCCTGTATCGGGTGGGTTTGGAGAGGCAACAGCTTGGGTCCATCCACCTCTGTGTGCAGGCTCAGGATACCTGGCTTGCCTGTTGCTGCCCCACCCCATTACTGTATACTCCACTCTCTGGATTTCAATTAGAGATGGTCACGGAGAGTTATTTTGATGGAATCCTAACATATCTTTCTTAAGTTTCTGGTGTTGGATTGAACTTGGGGCCTTGAGCATTGCCAGGCACGTGCTACACCACGGAGCCCTCAGCTCATGACCAGACTCCCATAGTCAGCTCCTGGATCCTATCTGACTCAATAGCCAGGGAGACGAGCTACTCAGTTCACTCTGGGACTGCCATCCCAAGCCCCCACCATACCCTGACAGCTCTTCATGGCTGACTCTATCTGGAGCCAAGCACAGGCCACATGAAGAGGAAGCTTCCTTCCTGAGTACGTACCGGTGCTATAGACCACTGCTACCCCAATACTGTCCAGCTGGAACACTCCTCGGAAGAGGAATTTCCCAAACCACACAGGGCAGGAAACACACAAGCCAACATCTGGTTGGCTTAGGGACTGGAGGTGTTAAGAATCTGGGCAAGCACAGCAGCTGTGGGGATGCTCTGGAGATCAAAGCAACGGCAAGCCCGGATCTGAGCAGACAGTGGTCCAGGGTTGTCAGAACAGGGGGGAACCGTTGGCAGCGATCTGCTGAAGGGCTACAAGGGGAAAAGCCAGGACAACAGCTACCGACAAGCATGCGGCGATAGGAGGGATATGGACTCAACATGGAAACATAGAAACAGGCTCCTGTATGGACACTGCGGGTGGCTGGGCAAGGCAGCAAGTGCTGACATTCCAGCACTCAGCAGGCAGAGTGAGGAGGGCCAGGAGTTCAAGTCTAGCCTCCTCCCCATAGCGAGCTCCACTGCATGAGACGCCACGGAGCCAGGGGTGGTGGCGCACACCTTTAACCCCAGTACTCAGAAGGCAGACACAGGTGGGTGTCCGTGAGTTCGAGGTTAGTCTAAGCCAATCCTGGTCTACATAGCGAGTTCAGGCCAGCAACTGGTACATTTAAATTTTGAATCCAGGTTTGTAGACTATAGATTGGATAATTAATGAGCAAGAGATGGGCTTTCCAGCTCGATAATTACCATTAGCCTTAAATTATCAACTTCTGCAATCCAGTCAGGAAAACTGATAGAAAGAATCTCATTTAAATCCAGAGCGAGGGGCTGGTAAGACGGCTCAGCAGGTAAAGGTGCTTGCTTCAACTCTGATGACCCGAGTTCAATCCCTGGGGCCCGTAGAGTGGAAGGAGAGAATGGGTTCCTGCCAGCTGTCCTCACCTGCGCACATGTGCCACGGCAAGCACACAGTGCCCACACTGCTGTTCTCTATCATCCTCATCACCCACAGTAC